TTTTTGTTTTTTTCTTTTCTTTTTTTTTGGAAAATTAAAAAATGCCAAGAAGATATCCATATGCCACACATAATTTATTGATACATGTGGGTATCTATGAATTTATAAATCTCTATTGGTTGACGCTTTTCCAATTATTAACAGCCATCTGCTCAACGGTACCTAAAATACTGACAGTGGCGTAGCAATGGAAAAGCTGCGGAATCCAGAGCTCAAGGAGCCCACAGACATCATGATCTCACTATTGTTGTGTCACCCGTGTAAACTCCGCAGTGTGTACGTGTCAAAAGGTTTCTACCTTCGGCAATCAAAAGGAAACACAGATTTGACCGAGACCGCTGGAAAGGGAGTCTCCGTTAGGATCTTTATGTCACTAGACTTGATCGTAACCGTTGGAAGGGGTTTCTCCGTTGGGACCTTTATGCCAGTAGATTTGACTGAAACCCTGGAAGGGGAGTCTCCATTAAGACCTTTATGCCACTTCTGATAACTGCAGTATTTCATAGTGTTTCACAATGCTCTACAGAGGTATCAAACACTACGAAGTAATGGAATTTGTAGTAAATAACTGTAGATACAGATACGAGGGTGGATTGATAAGTTTCCGGCCTAACCAAGAGATGACGCCACTAGGCCTACCTTGAGGTGACATTCTATAGTACCATCCTTGGATAGCTTGTAGCTATAGTTTCAGCCCGATCTCCTTGCTAGTGTAGGTTTGACAGCACGCTGAACAAGACGCCTCTGTGGTTTTCGTAAAAATGGAAAAGCAGGAAAATCGTGCTGTCATCAAATACTTTTATTTGAAGGGGTTAACGCCGAAGGAAATTAAAAAAGAGATGGACTCAACACTGGGGACATCCTCCCCGTCATATTCAACCGTTAAGCAGTGGGTTTCCGAGTTTAAAAAGGGTCGTGTGAGCACCTCTGATGGGCCTCGCTCAGGACGCCCCGTTGAGGTCACAACTCCAGATATGATCGAAAAAATTCATCAAATAGTGCTGGGAGACCGCAGATTGAAAGTGCGTGAGATAGCTGAGACCTGTAAGATGTCATATGAACGTGTGCAACATATTTTGCACCAACATTTGCATATGGAAAAGCTCTGTGCAAGATGGGTGCCGCGTTTGCTAACAGTCGACCAAAAATTGATTCGAAAAAACATTTCTACCGCAAATTTGTCATTGTATAAGCGTAATCCAAGCGAATTTTTGCGTCGATTCGTAACCGTTGACGAAACGTGGGTCCACCACTACACTCCTGAAACCAAAGAACAGTCTAAACAGTGGATTGGACCAGGGGAACCAACTCCAAAGAAGGCAAAAACAATTTTTTCGGCGAACAAGGTTATGGCTACTGTTTTTTGGGATGCAAGAGGTATTATATACATTGATTACCTTGCAAAGGGTAATACTATCACTGGTCAATACTACGCAGACTTATTGCAACGTTTGAGCCACGAGGTGAAAATTAAACGACCTCATCTGGCGAAGAAAAAAATCTTGTTTCATCACGATAACGCACCAGCGCACACGTCAATCGTTGCGACGGCTAAAATCAACGATCTAAAGTTTGAATTGATGCCGCACCCTCCTTACTCTCCAGACCTAGCCCCGAGTGACTATTTTCTGTTCCCTAATCTCAAAAAATGGCTTGGCGGTAAGAGATTTGCGGACAATGAAGAAGTAATCGAAGCTGTAAATGGTTATTTTGAGGAGCTTGACGAATCAGTCTATAGAGATGGCATTAATAGACTGGAACACCGCTATGAGAAATGTATCAGCCTTGGAGGAGATTATGTTGAGAAATAAAAAAAAAAAATTTTTAAAAACCTTGTTTTTCTTGGTCAGGCCGGAAACTTATCAATCCACCCTCGTATATTGAATAACTGCTACTTACTTGAACCTCGAAATACTCATCAATCAGCCTGGAAACAGATAGAATAGATACACTCTTATTCATAGGGTGAGAGAGGTCTTTGGGCTAACAAAATGATAAACATTTTTATAAAATCATCCGGAGACTTCGAACCCCACATTTGCTTGACATTTGAAAGAACTCCGGTTCGATTCCAGATCCATCTGCCCTGGTCCAAGTATTTATGTAGTTTCCTCGGATCACTTCGGCAAATGATGCATTAGTAGCTGCCGGGTATGAAACAACCAAAAGTTTTCCCTGTCGCCAGTTTGCCCCGAATCAATCATCAGAAGAGACCTCTTGAAAATGCCCACACTCGCGAAACAAAATATCTGAAACTCTAAACGACGCCTAAGCCCGAAAGGTAATAGTAGCGTTTCTATGAAGCACTCTTATCATTGGTTGACTCACTTTTGAAACACCTATCAAAAATTTATGCAGGAAATAAGATCATCTTTGTTTCATTGTTTCTTCGAAATGAACGTAGAGACATTTTCTAACCCGAAAACGCAGTTGGATTCGCGTATCACTGCCTACATTTCTGACGTCAAAAAAAAGGCTCAGCCACGATGATGATTTTATTTGAAAACTAAATTATCGCGCCGTAAAAGGATGTAAATTTTATCAGTGGATTTATGTACAGTCGTTAGTTTTAATCTTTAATTGTGCTATCAATAAAAGTGTAGGTACTAACTTGTCTCGAAGTCGATTAGTTTGCTGTCGGTGGAGTGCAGTGGGTCATTTGAAAGTGGTTGTTTCAATGAAGGTAAAGGTCAAATACTATCTAATAAAAACCATAAACTCCCTACTTGAAAAGAACTTATTAATTTGCGATGTAATCTAACGCTTCTGTTTGTACCTTTATGTATCGAGCTTAATTGCCGTCATTTTTGCAAATCAACTTTACTTTCATGAACGTTAACGTTATCCTAAACACTAGAAAGGGTCTGTATTCTGTATATTAGGTATATCCTACATGTGTGATTAAAAGTTTGAAGTTCCTTAATGCTGATCTCCTAAGGGGCGGTAATAATTGGAAACGATAACTAGTAGAGAAACGATGGATGAGGTTATTACCAAACTTGAACCAATTTGCTTTTATGTTTCAAAATGTTGCACATTTTTCAGATGTAAATTGCTGTGACATTATTTAGATTGATAATTACTCCATAAAACAAAATTGCCAACAAGAACAATGCAGTTTATTAGTAATTAGTATCTTAATTGTTGTATGACAAACTGTAATTCGTAATCTTCAAACGATTTTCGCCGAACCAAAAAACAAAGTGATGAATGTCATTGAAATTTGTCATACGTACATACACAGAATCGTAGCCAGACTGTATAATCTGGATCAGGATAGGCTGGAAGGCGAAACTTTTCCATAATTGTGTCTACAGTGGGTATTACACAGAGGGATCACAGGGAGTAGGCACTGCTTAATGTTAATTCTTGATACTTCTGCACGATAAAAATCGTATAAAGACACAGAATCCTAAGTCATTTTCATGGTTTAGTGGTTAATTATATATATAAGTACCAACATAATTGAACGTATTGTGCTTCTGTACGATTTTGTTCGCATATTAAAAGGATGAAACATGAGGTTCGTAAATAACTGTTGTGGACTGTTAGTCATGAGAAATATAGGTGTAATACTGAAAATAAGATATTCATGAAGATACACCAACGTCATTAGTTGTAACTCATTAAAAAGTTAATTGAAAATTTTGGTGGAGGCGCCGGGGCAATTTAAAATAAAGGCTAAAATTGAGCAATAAATTCGGTTTAATTGAAGTAATTTGATGAATTTTCATTATTAAACTATTTTTTTCCATGGTCATGCAGTTAGAGATGCCATTTCTGTTTACAATAAATTAATTTATAACTTGTAATATACGTAGGCATAGACAACCCAACATACAGCAAATATTACACCTCTAATAATAATGTAACTACAAAGATAACTGGAAAACTATTTTTGTCACGAAAATAACCATTTTACGTGAAACTTAATACTATCCTAGAACAAAATATTTCGAGAAAATAGTTAATTAATTAGTAATATTTTCAAAGACATCTTGTAAAATTTGCCTGAAAGCTATCAGATACTTAGTTCTATTTGCAAACTCTAGAAACTTATTTAATAACTAATTACGAGTTTTTAGTTAATGTTTATTTTAATCTATCGTCTGAATGCAAAAATTAAGCTATTTAAGAAGATTTATTAACGTTATCGACAATAATTAAAAAAGTATATTGAAATTTCTGGTGAAGGCGCCGGGACCATTTTAAGCAAAAGCCTTGATTGAGTTGTAATTCTGGTTTTATTTGAAGAAATTGATAAATTTTCATCTTTAAAGGTGTAACTAAGGATGCTAATTTATAATTTTTTTTAATAATAAATTAAAGAACTAAATTTTAACATAATATTTAGACAGCCCAACATACAGCAAATATTACAATCCTCATAACGTAACTATAAGAAAATTTGGAAACTTTGTTTTCACGGAAATAACTGTTTTACTGAAATTCGAAGAAACCACCAAATATTCGTTTAAAAAATAATTACTGACGAAGTAGTATTTTTAATCCTCTTACAAATATTTATTTATTGGTACCAAAAAGTACTAAGTTACTAATTATGAGTACTAATGTATTAGTCTTGTATCTTATTGTCGAAAATAAGACGTTCATAATAATGCACAAATATTATCTGCAAAAATTGATTGGAAATTTTGGTGGAGGCGCCGGGACATTATAAAATAAAGACTAATTAAGCAATAATTGTTTCATTGAATTAGATTAATGAATTTTCAGTTTTAAATCACATTTTTTCATGTAGATGCAGTTAAAAATGCTTATGTTGTTCTTTTTCGAATACGGTACAGTCAAAAACTTTAGAAAAAAAACACTATTTTTTTTATTAAAAACGAAATATTAAAAGTTTAATACAAATCATCCAAATTTATATGTAACAGTATTGAGTTCTTTAATTAATTTAATAAATAATACTCCCTATTTTACCTTTGGCACCCTTTTTGTCTTTACTTCTGGTCACTAACATAATTTATTCTTTTCAGCCATGTCGCAGGAGACTGCAACAGAAACTGCAGCCGCGAACGAGACTGGTAAGTCCAAAAAACTTATTAATGTATTTATTTCTATTTTTATTACTGCAACTCAGTTTTTTGTGTAGATTTTATAACTTATGAGGAATACCACCTTTTTCGTCGAGCAAGAAAATTATATTGCAGCTAAATATAAACTTATTACAATTTTTCAAACTGTATTACCACAAAAAAAAAAAACAAAACAGAAAAAAAACAGCAGAAAGTCAGGGTGTCGTCATCTGGTGTAATTTGCTGTTGACAAGTTCGAAGTCGCCATTCGGTAGCTTTAAAGTTTTCTTTCATTGGCATTCAAATTACAGTGAACTTGTTAAAATTGTTTATTAATGTTTGTAGTAACCTATCTTGAGGAAAAGTATTTCTGTGGTGACTTATATCTAGTGCACAATAGGTGGCGGTATAGTATAGTTGAACATTACAGCAAACATGAATTATGTAATACCTTGTCTTCAATCATAGATGGCAGCAGATGCTCGTTTATAAATCAACACGTTTGAATGATTTAGTCCACAGATGTCCGTCAATGACTGAATTCAGAATTGATCAAAACCTGGAAATTACTTTGTATCCGAGTTTGATAACATTTTAGATAATTATTGAAATTAATGTAGAAAAGGTATTTTTTGTAGAAATCACTAGGATTTATATCGTTCGTTGGAACACGAGTATAATACAATGGCCATGAAAAAATTAACAAAAAAAATATAATTCATCCTAATCAGCAATCACAAAATTGATACCTAATGCGTAAGAAAACAGAAAACATAAAATTAATATAGACATATTAGATTTAAAATTTTGTTTGTCCTCATTTGGCGATTTCTCTTCGTGGAAGGTCGGTAGCAGGGTCTGGGGGTACTGTGAACATATCCGGTTCCAATGTATGTTCGAAAGGCCATGTCATATCATCGAACAAAGGTGGCACTGCGGACACGAACGACATTCTCTGTCTTATATCTGGTAGATACGGAGATTCCAGAATGAATTCCAATAGACGATACTCTGGAAGAATGCTCTTCCATTTATTTTTGCCTTCCGCAGTGTTCGTGTCCATGGTGGCACTACTTTGAGTTCTTGTTAAAGAGGGTGAAGAAGTGATACTGAATGTTTCAATGGTTGTTGTTGAAGCTCCAATGGTGAACGCGATCGATTGGTTGTCAGATATTTGTTTCATATCCTTTTCGGCCTGTATGTTGATGCACAGTGCATGGAGTTTTTTAACACACAACGAGACGTACTGAAACGTTTCTTGTAAATTGTCCGCTTCAATTTTTTGTAACAACCTCGGTGGTTTTGCCGTGATAGCCGTCCAGCCTGTTAACAGTCTTTTGTACAGGTGGTGAAAGGGAGCTATGAATTTTATTTTTACTAACTGTGTCCCATACTTGCTCAGTAAATGCTGTACGAACTTCAATAGTACGTCTTCGGAGCCTTCTGTTACGTGACAAAAATAATGTGGATAATAAAGTAGCATTCCTGTCAAACGCTCTTCGCAGTATTCGGCATTTATTTCTTCGACAATGCCTCGAAGGGCTTCCCCTATTCCCCATTCCCAAGAGGTTCCCATACTGTGCTGGGCAATTATCATTACCCTTTGGATGTACGTTCGTCTTTCTGCTATTTTTAGATTTTCCTGCAGATTATCGTACAACGAAACTCTCACTGGTTCACTTAGGTTAGTTATGAGTGGCATGTTTTCGTTAAAAAAGTTACTGCTGACAAAAAATACTTTTTATAAGCACAAAAAAACTCAAAAACGTTCTTTCACAAATAAAATGTCAATAATTCTAAAATCATTTATTTTATCATCGCTGTCATAGTGAAAAATGACAAATAGAAAATCTAGTTTCATCACATGCAGCTAAACCAGAATGTTCACTGAAGCAACCTTCTAAATTGCATCGATATGTTGTCGATCCCTTGTCATGGGGATCCCAACTTTTCAACACATTCACCACGTTTTTTAAACGGTTTTCCAATTTATTTTGGAAATCGCAAAAATCCATCACAAGATTAGAACGGTGACGCGTTTGGCTTTGTTCGACGACATTAAATCAATTAGCGTCACACTTACGCTTCTAGTCAATGGAACCGATCTTAGGAAAGCACATGTTTAAATCGAGAGAGGTGTGTTTTATTTATTTGTATTTGCTTCGTCCATTTGCTGGCCAACACCATTAAAATTATTTATGTGTCTTGTCTTGTAGTCGATTTGGCAAAAATAACTTTTGATCCATGACTCTTGTCACTGCACAGTTCATGATAAAGTACTTCTGGGTCCAGTGGTTAGTTTTTTTTTTTAAGAAAAGCATGAGTCAACCGCAATTTTTTGACGCTCGCAACCTTTGATAGACGCAAAATGGATAAGGATAATGGCTTCTTATTATTTATTTTTAATTGAAACGAGACAATCTTCATTATGAAACACTAAAATCCAAAATTCCACCGAAAAACAACTTAAAACGCGTTTCAGGATCCAGTTATAGTCACCTATCTACACAAAGTTTTATTTTTGGCTCATTGAAGTTAAAAAGGGTTATCTTTTCTTTATATTTAAAGAAATAAACAGTTTAATGGGTTTGTTTAAACTAATTATTCTGTAAACATCGCTGCAAATTTTCCGTTAAAATATTCCCTAAATAGCAGCAGCAATAAATTGATAGTAAGTAATGGTTTATGTTAATGCTTCTTACTGTTATGTTAGTGACTTTCTGTATGCATTTGTTTGGGTTTTTGGAGTCGCTTTTGTTGATTCTCGTAATTTTTTTTTGCAGGCTCAGAAGTCCCTAGCTTGTCGCATCTCGGTAAGTACCCTTTTAATACAAAATTTTGTCTGTTTGTGAAGCGATCGAAAAAGGTTGCGATTTAGAAAATTCCCCATATGACGCAAATTATCTGGGAAACTATATTTGGTTACGAAACACGTTCAATTAGTATACAGTTTTGTGGCAAATCGGTTTTTCGTGTATAAATTTGTCGTATAATATTATTAAACATACATTAATTATACACGATGTGTATATTCATTCATTTTTTATCTGTATTAAATATACATAATAGGTTTTTATGATGAGTCTATTTTTAGAAAATCATTCATGGAAATTTAAACTATCTATATACACAGCGGTTTAGCACAATTTACGTACATACTTATTAGTGTTAATTTATGTAACAAGGGGTATGTAATTAGGTATGTGTAGTAATTCTAGTAAAACAAACTATGAAATTAAAATGGTACACTTTTTACAAGCTTTCCCGGAAAACTCGTTTATCTTTAACAAAACTATTGACGTAATTGCGTTAACTAATCGTAAAATATAGCGCATTCTATGAATTTGGTTATTTAATTAACTAGCGAAAAATTCTTTTTGCGACATTTTAGGAGTTTCATAAAAATACATTCTTATGTAAGTTACTAAAGAGTACTTATCGTTTGTGAGAATTTGTACAATTTGTAATTTAACTAATTATTGAGTTAAAAAATGCAAAAACTACATACGTTTTTAATAAATTTCATTTATTAAATCATGATGCAAAAAAATCATAAGAGAAAGTAGTTATGAAAGTTTAAAACTACAGCCAAAACATGAAGAGGTTATTTTCTGGCTTATTCTAAGGGTATTTCTTCCTTCAATGCATTCTGAAAGCCACTTTGTTTGAAAGATACAAGGCGATAATTGTTTTTCGACAATATAAAACTTGTCAGTCCACAGGAACTGTTGAATATCACTACCACTAGCTAGAATGCATCATGCATCCAATCTTCTCCTCATTGACTTCCGAACTCTTTCGAAAGCAGCATAGTCGCTTCTTATTGAACTAGTCCTACTATTATCCGAATTATCACCTGATCGGAATTGTTGTTGTTGTTAAAAGATAAAAGGTATAATATGTATCAAATTGGGATTTTCCAAGAAGCGTTCATATTCGTGTTTCTTCAAAACAAAGAAGCTTCCAAAAACCATAATCAAAAGACAAAAGATCCAAAATAACCCAAAAAATAACCTCTTGAAGTTTTGTCGTATGTTTTATGTTGTATATTAAAGTTTTTACAATTTCCTAGTACGCAATTGCGCGATTGAAAATTACGGTTTCGTAGAATGAGGCAATTTTTCTGGTTTTCTTGACCTATCTGTTTAGTATCAGATTTGTTAATAGACTTCATCATACGGATGTTTCTGAGCGACCTTTCGGAAATAGGTTCTCCAAGGCCGATCTGTCCATTAATAAATTATATCGGACCGAAGATGAATTTATTAAGTACTTACAACATTCGTCCAGGTGAATTGCATATGTACCTATCTACCCATAAATATTTTTCAAACACTCGCAAAATAAAAATATAACGGGTTCATAGAAATTATTCTAATTTATATGTGTGTTCTAGTTAGTGTTGCCCAAACGCAAGAACAAGACGAGACTTAGCCAGTCTTGGTCTTGGTCTTGCGCCAATACACCTGGTCTTGGTCTTGGTCTTGCGCTCCCAGTCTTGGTCTTGGTCTTGGTCTTGGTCTTGCGCTCCCAGTCTTGGTTTTGGTCTTGGTCTTGCAGCAAGAGTCTTGCAAGTCTTGCAATTACCTATTAGTCTATTACTATTTATTAAAGTTTACTTTAAATCCTAGAAAAACGTATTAGAATTGGAACATTGTGAGCTTGAATGAATATAGCCATAGTAAAGATCAAGCAGATTAATAAATAACTGAAGATTTGATAAGAAATTCGAAAAATCAACTGACCTATATGTCGTTTTCCATGGAAGTAACTGTTTCTTAATAAACATTTATGATCCTTGCTTTCTACCGCGCCGCCTCGCCACGTGCCGGCTCTATGATAAGGATGCCGCCGCAAATCAAACAATAATATAAAGCGTGTAAAAAAATTCGAAATTATTTTGCATGAGTATACCTACACCCTATGGCGGCAATCAAATAGTGTCAAATGTTATGATTTCGGCGTGGCGGCAACGATTGTTTTAGATTTCAAAAGAAGCCGCCGGCGCGTGTATCATAACCATGTACTTCCGAAAAGCGGCAAATTTCTTTGAGAAGTAAGTACAAAACCTTTGATGCCGCATTATCAAAGTGCCG